CTGTTGGAAACCGTGACCGCATTCATCTTTCTTGCTGTGGGTTGATCTCCTCTTATTTGTTTGATCCCCACAGGAGTTGGGAATTTCAGAAGTTGGTGATACGTTGATGGTATGGACTTCATCTCATGTAGCCATGGTCTGCCAAGAATTATGTTGTAGCCCATGTCGTCATCTACTACTTCATGACCCCTTCGGCGTTCGTGGGCAGCAAGATCTCCGCCCGGGTTGTCACACTTGCTAAGTTGAACCCGTCGAGGAGTTTGGTTGTTGGAATGATACTTCCGGTTAGCTTGGCTTGTTTCAGCACTCTCCATTGAATGATGTTGGCTGAACTTCCTGGGTCAACCAAAACATGTTTAATCTTGAAATATAGAACGTTAAGGGAAATTACTACGGCATCATTGTGCGACAGTAGAAGTCCATCGGCGTCTTCTTCTGTGAAGGTGATGTCGTCCTCGGCGACTTCTCGGAGTCTCTTGCTATGAGTCACCGATATCTTTTTCTTTTTTGCTGCCGAGAAGGTTACATCGTTGATCTCGTTCCCCCTAAATATCATGTTGATGGTTAGTTGAGGAGGGTCTTCCTCTATCTTTGAAGGCTCTGCATTGTCTCGACTGCGGCCGTAGTTGTTCTTAGCCTCGTGGCTTGAGAATTCCCTAAGATAGCCGTTTTTTCAATAGCGTTGCTACCTCTTCGCGTAGATGTTGACAGTCCCCAATCTGGTGGCCATTATTCCCATGATATTGGTACCACAAATTAGGATCCTTCTAGCTAGAATTGGATCTCATCGTCCCTAGGAACCGTGCTTCCTTGATGTTCCTCATCGCCGATACCAGCTCAACTACGTTAATATTGATATTATACTCGGACAGCCTGGAATAAGTGGAATCTCGGGAACCCGATGTCTCTTTGTCTTGCAATAACCTTTTATTCCGACCGTGGTTAGTTCTTCTATCGGGAGAAAATCTATCCACTGACCGAAACCCTCTGCTACCGCATCGTTCGGCCCTGCGTACGGCAAAAGTCGGGCCTTAGAAGATCACCAATCCGTATCAAATCATCTTTTGATTTTCCCTATTCTTTTCTCGATCCCGACACTTAGTTGCTGCCTGGAACCCGAGCTGATCATCTTCTATCCTTATCTTTGGTTCATAACAGTTATGGACATCCGCCCATGTAGTTTCCTGAACTCGAGCAGGCTTTCTTTCATTTTTCGGGAGGCGTCGGAGCTCCTTGGGTTCCACCCTTTAGTAAATGCTTCAGCTTCCCATTCATCTGGCACGACTAGTAACAACATCCTTTTATTCTGAAACCTGATCACGAACTTGCACAACAACTCAAACTCTCCTAGCGAAATTCTGAATATGTCCGCTTTTTGGGCCTAGACCTTTCTGGCCCCGGCATGGGCCTTGATGAAAGAATCTGCGAGCATCTCAAAGGAATCTATTGAGTATTCGGGTAAGAGTGAGTACCATGTCAAGGCCCTCTTTGCGAGGGTTTTCTCCAAATTTCTTTAGCAGGACCAACTCAATCTCATGTTGAGCCAAGTCGCTTCCTTTCACTGCCGTTGTGTAGGTGGTGATATGCTCCTGAGGGTCCAAAGTCCCATCATATTTCGGTACGTCTGGCATTTTGAACCGCTTCGGAATCAACTCTGGTGCTGCACTCGGTTTGAACGACAACTGAGTGTACTTCTTTGAGTCCGGGCTCTTCAGCACTGGTGGTTTGCCCGGAGTGTACTTCTTTCGCATTCTGGTCCATCCGCTCGTTCATTTCCCTCATAAACCGTATGAGATCCATTTTGAAAGGATCATTACTATTGTCGTTACCGGATCTGCTGCTGATCCCCTCGGCCCCGTTGATGCCGAGGGGTGTTGTTATCACCCTTTGTATTGTTTGATTTGCGGGAGCACCACGAGAAACAAGGCCTCTTCCATTCGTGTTGTTGGAGGCGCCTGACAAAGCTTGCCTTAGTTCTGTCATGGCCTGGTCTTGCCGTGAGAGATGGCCCATGATGGTCTTTTTCTGTTCTCTCAAGATCCTCACCGTACATGTCGGGGATATCGCCCGCTATGAACCGGCGTTGCTACGTCCTCCTCATTGCGGATGTCACTGATCGAATCCTTGTGTTGAGGCAGATTTTCTTGTACCTCAACATTATGTGTGATGTTGGCATAGTTAGCTGCCATTTTTTCGATTTTTGTTAAGAAACAAATAATCAAACAGGTTTGTAATAGATGCAAGGATCAACTCAATTATGCAGCTGTCTACGCCCCACGGTGGGCGTCAAACTGTTTACCCGTAAAATGGTACAGTTGAATTTATAGCGTAGTTTATATAGACAAGTGAATCTATTTGATCCTAAAAATAATAAATAGATTAAATGAAAAGTATAAGACTTAGTGTTGAAATCGAAATAAACAGTAGGTAGCCTGATTTCGGGAGCAGGACTTCCGAAGATAGCGATAAGAACAATATTAGACAGAAATAAAGTATTATTTAGCTTGGGAATAGTGTATAGCATAAGTCCCACCATAGATTTTTCGTGTGTTACAATGGTTGTTGAAGTCACTATTTATAGCTATACCTAGGTAACAAGGTCCTATGATCAAGTCCCTCTTAAATGACAATAATGGGGGTCATTGATGAATATGTAACGGCAGGCCATGAACGCCAAAATTCTCTGCAACGGCTGTGTATTTAATACTGAGAAATCTTCATTAAATATCCTCTGATAACAAATATTCATTCGCCTCGTTGATTATGTTCCGCTCGGGATCTACCTGGTGCCAACTGAGGCTGTTGTCCTCGGCCTTGATTTCCACTAGCTTCATCTTTCGTCTGCTTCCGGTTCTATGTGTCACGCTAGTATTCGAGCATTTAGTATAAATCGATTTTTACCTTATGCATTAATATTAGTAGATCAAAAGTTGAACTGAGGGCAAAGTTGCTCAATTTGGGATAGTACAATGATAAATTAAGCCTTGTTTCGCCTTGAAATACCACCGTTAGTTTATATTAATTGCATTATTTAAATGGAGTCTAAATATCAACTTTATCCTTATATGTAACTAAATAGTCAGTATATAGTAAATTTCATTTTGCAACTGTTATATTCATAGTATTTTCAAACAGTGTAGATAGAAAAAGATAAGATTTTATTTTGATTCCCCGTATAAACAAGGCTTAGACTATTCTTTAGATTTAAAATTTTGAAAAGGCTTAACAAATATTGAAAGTGTTCGTCTTGCATAAAATAACAATAGCTTTCTGGAAAATTACAACAAATTTTAAAAACTTGCGTATTGCAGTGTATACCATTGCTGTATAATTAAACAATACCTGTATGATTTATGTTTATTCTTTACATTGAGGATATTTCCTAATATTCTATCCATTTCATTTGATATAATACTGCTCATCTATTTTAATTTATGTGATGTTATATCCTTTCTAGTCCGAAAAAGAATGATATTTTTTAAACTTAAAAATAGTTTAATTTAAATTCTGTATTTTATTATTAATGACAAGTTTTTATAGTCATACAAATGTCGCAACATTTATTATCATAATACCACAGGTTTCAAAAGTCGCTATAGACAATGGCGTAGCCACATGCATTGAAGGGTGGTCAACCGAACACCCTTTGTCGAAAAACTTATACTATGTATATAGAAACTTATATTGTGTATGTAGGTCAAAAATTATTTTTTATATGTATAAATTCAATTTTAAACATCCTTCGCGAAATTTCTGGTTTCGCCAGAGCGTATAGATTTACATAGATGAAGTTCCTTGAATAAAAGACTTTTTAAATTTATTCTTATACTTGAAAACTATTTATTTGTAGTTGTTTACTTTACCCTAAAAAACGGATAACAATTGAATTTATATGTGATTTTAAGGATGTGTGGATTAATTCAATACGAGTGATTAATAGCGTTAGATTAAATAAATGAAAAACGTGATAGATGACTAAACCAATGATAAGGGTGTTTCCGAGCTCGGTTGATGGCTCGATGAAGAACCAGCCCTCGATTCCGATCTTATGCTTATGAAGAACTTAAGAACAAGAAAAAGAACTTTGAACAACAAAGAGAATTGAAATAAATTGCCTTGATATGTGTGTTACAATGCGTCCCATGAATAATAATCTTTCCCCTTTATATAGTAGGGGAGTTTTACCCTAAGTACAACTCTAAAAAAGGTAAAAATCGTTGTTTCGCTAATAACTAATTTTCTGTCGATACGGGCCGAGATTCACGCCGTGATATCCGATTGAGCACGAACATAGTCGTGTATAGCTGTTTGGTAATGTTCTGCGAAGTCCCCATCCTCGAATCGGACCCGGAGGATATGGCCCCGATATCCCCGAGAGCAGGTGTTTTGCCCGAGCGCCGATACAAGGGGCTCCCCGCTCGGACCCCGATCCATTACGGTCATGTTCCTGCTCAGTTTGACTCACCGGGAAGTAGAGTCGTGCAGTACGCTCGGTTTTATCCGTATACAATAGCATTTGTATTTTATCCTCAACATTTTTTTATATGACATGTTTAACATCAAAATGTACAAACATACCTTTGAAATATCAAATATACTTTAGCTTATAAGTCAAACTTTGTTCTTTCTGTCTTAAAGTTTATAGTATATCAAAATACTATTTTGTGATTTGAGAGAAAATTTGATAATATTTTGCCAAGTGATCATTTTGTCAACAATAAAGTCATTTTCTCAAATACTAAATCGTATCATCGCGTACGCCGCACTCGTTGCCCGACAGCACACTCCGTGCACGTTCCCATGCATGGCTACACATTTGACTACACCATCCTAATGAAAGTCACCCTATCATTCAACTAATCTACCAAATTACCCCTATTCATATCCTCTCCTATTGGCCAACATGTTTCCACAAAACTTTCCTGTAGTCCCTGTCACAGCAGATATCTCTCTCCAATTTATCCTTATCAAATGTCGGCACCTGAAATCAAAGCTCCATTATTCTGACCCGACCCGTAAACTTTCCATTCCTGGCTTCTTCTTCTCTCTGCGCCACACCCATAATTTACAAATACTGTATCTACATTACATTTATTAATAAACTCGGATACACCGATCTATCGATTAGCAGCCAATGAGAACGGAGAAACGTCAGGGGATCTATCAGCATTGTTAAAACACAGGTGCGGACTTTATTTTTATGCGTTTATATATGTGAATGTTATGTTTACATTTCTGTGATTTAGATTCATATAATTATTTGAATTGATTTTTTTATGGAAGAAATTGGAAAGGATTATAGTAGTTTATATTTTTAATACAAAATTGTGAAAAAAGGACAAAACTTGATTCGAATTTGGCGTTTACATTTCTGTGTTATTTGCTTGTGTTAAATTATGGAATTGGCGTTTTCCTTTCGTTGTAATGCTGCCATTTGAGACTTGCTTGTGAAAAGTTAGCTTTAGGATTGGAATATTTCAATTGAGTTTTCCTTAACTTTTTCTTTTTGTTCTTTTCTGTTATGTTTTAATTTGCTCTTGATTTATATAACGTTCTTTCTGTTTTTAAACGACCAAAATGTTTGAAGTTGGATCACTGTAAAACTTCCATAGCTTTCGAGAATTGAAATTTCTCAAACTATTCAAATTTTAAACTTTGATATAATATTTTTTAATTTATCAAAATAACTTTCTTCAGGTAATAAAGTACATTTGGATTTGAGTGCTTGAGTAGTTATTTTTGACGTGGTTCTTTGCTTTAGCTTCTATCATATAGTTTCAAGAGCCCAGGCCTGTGAAAGTTGTAGCTAAAATCGTGATGGTTGTTGTCCGAATGTCCCAGATGTTCTTCACTTCATACATGTACAAAAGCTCATTTGTGTTGTAGCGGAAGAACAGCAGCGACTCACAAGTATATCTCTACTTGGAGTGTGCATCGAGAGATGAAAGGCGGAAATGTTGGTAGATTTTGGGGAGGACAGTTCTCCTTTTTCCTGGCTGCTATCTTATTTACAACCATATTTCTTTGGTGCTGGGAGAAGAATCCACTTCTTACTAGCTTATTATCAGCTCAAGATCAGTTCATAATGCAGTCCTCAGGTTTGCACTCGATTGAAAACTTGCAAGCATTAATAACCTGTCAAAGTTGAATTTTCTGCGAAAGATATTACACCAGAGACAAAGAAGATAGTATGAACTTAACAGTCAAGATCTCTTCTATTATTTGCTGGTGAACTTTTATCTTGTCTTGCACTTTTAGTTTTTTATTAAAAAAATCAAGCATTTATCCACACTCCATATTTATGTCTTACTCGAATGGCACGCTTTGATAGGAGGATATTTAGCAGTCGTCTAGTTATAATTAGATTATTAAGTGCCCTTTTCCTCTCCCTTTATGCATATTCAAAAAAATAATTAGAAGATAACCGTGCTTGTTCTAGTTGACCACTAATGATCCACTGCAACCTTGATCATTCAGTTCTGTTTCCTGATAATCCCTCATTCCCCTCCAATTTAAATTTATTTTTTTCCTTAATTAAGCTGCCATGATAGGAGAGAGTGGTGATTAGACGGAAGACTTACGTTGAAGCTTCATTCCTGCATGAATGCAATAACAACAACAACAATAGTGAATGCCCACAGGTGGGGTCTGGGGAGGGTGAGATGTATGCAGCCTTACCCCTACCCTGGAGGGCAGAAAGGCTGTTTCCGGAAGACCCTTGGCTAAAGAAAAGATAAAAATAAGTAAGGACAAACTAACACTAATGTTGTCGAACTGAAGAAGACAAAGGGAAACGCTCGACTACCCACTAACCTTCTACCCTAATCCTCGATCTCCACACCCTCCTATCAAGAGTCATGTCCTCAGTAAACTCCAGCTGCGCCATATCCCGCATAATCAACTCTCCCTAAGACTTCTTTGGCCTACCTCTACCCCTCCTCATACCCACCAAGGTTAACCTTTCACACCTCCTAACCGGGGCTTCTATGTTTCTCCTCTTAACATGCCCGAACATTCCTGCATGAATGCCAGTGATATAATTTTATTAATGTATTATGCGGTACTAGTGGGCGGTTGGGCTTAGTGCCATAATTAGTTATGGTTCTTAGCCTCCCATTTCCCCAGATAAGTACTGTACAATCTTTTGCTGAATTTTTTTTACGAAGTTAGATTAACTTCATCTATGTGCCTATCTGATAATATTGATAGATTTTTTTGATTGTCATATTTGCCTATTCCTCTGGGACGACATACTTGCCAAAATCAAATTGATTTTCCCCTTAAACCCAATTTGGATGTCCTTCATCCAAAATAATCAAGTGCCCTATAGTTGGTGCTGACTGAATAACTGCCTAAAAGGCAATTAGGGGAGAAGAAAGTAAAAGAAAACCAGGGCAAAGATACAACAGTGCCAAGGATCAATTCTTTTCAAACTTCTGAAGGTGTGTGTGCCTGTTTGGACTTGCCTTTGCCTGTATTTGGAGCTATAATGTTGAATATGTTCCGTGGGAATTTTTTTCATGACTTTGTCTCTCTTTTCCTCATGCCTAGTGTTTATAGCTCCATTATGTGATGGTGTAATCTATAGCTTATACTCGTGTCGATAAGGTAGTGATCTCAATGAATTATTTTCGAAGTACTTAGCTATTTCCGTTCTTATTGTTTTGTATTTCTTGTTGTAGAGATTTCAGTGGATGAATATGCAGTATCATTGAGATCGAAGGAACAAATTATGGACGAGCACTCAAATTCACAAATAGCAGAAGGCAGAATAGTGGAAAATAGATTGGCAGTATCTGATAGTTCTGTTAAGAATGTTACAGTCACGCCTTCCATTAAAAGGAGAGATGATAAAAAGATTATGACTTCCCAATTAGAGGGAAAAGGTAAGGTCTATGTTATTTTTGTTCATTATATTCAAAAATTTGATATGTAGACTTCTGTCCTATTTCTTTGCCTTGCTAGATTGTTATAAAGCACATTGCTAGTTTAAAAGAGCCGATTGCTTTTGAACTAATCTGTTTAAATGTTTTGCCAGAATCGGGAATCCTTTTTTTGGTGGATTAGTATTTATACCATATCATGAGATCATTGAAGGATCAGTTACAAGAAAAAAAAATTAGGAAAAGAGAAAGGGGAGATAAGACATATATTAGGTTGAGAGAAACAGTCACAAGTTCTCTTTTGACATAAGAAGTGCAGAGATGTTCTAAACAAAATTAGTTATAATTTGAGACACATTAGTTCTATTTTAACAAATTATACCAAAGATTGCATACTGCCAAAAGACTCTTTTTTTTTTTTATGACCGAAAATTCGTCTGGGGCCGACCCTTAGGACCGTGCAGCCTTGTAACTCGTGGGTAATGGGATCAGCCTCCATCCTTCTCCACTTAATTGCCAAGCTTAATTCGCATGGTTTAGGGGTTGAACTGTGACCTAAGTCACAAGTCCCTCAGCCTTTGCCGCTTGAACTAAGCCCTGGGGGCTACTGCCAAAAGATTTTTTGCTTTTAAGTGCTACCAAAACCACAAAAAAAAAAAAAAAACTGGAAATGGATCACTTGTACCATAAGCCCAGTTCATGTTTCAGTCAGAGTGAATAATCCTCTCTAGGACTTCCTATCAAAGCAAAAAGTGAGAGACTATGAATGAGATCCATTGCATTAGAAAACATATTGTTCCAGTTTGGATAAACTGCTGATTCTGGCCTTTGAATCTCTAATATCCTTTGAGTTTGGTTTTGACCAATGTATATTTCGTCTTCTATAATTTACAAAGTTTTCAGGTTTTTCTGATATTGGCTTGAATATATTTATATGTAAGAGGAAAATACTAGCAAAATCTTTAGCTGTTGTACATTTAAGTTGGCTAATCTAGTGGTTACCTTTGACGTTTCATCTGAAAGACTAAAGAATGATTCCTCATGTTCCTGTTCTTTTGTTGCAGCTTGCAATTTTGCTAAAGGCAGGTGGATTGCAGACAGTAGACGACCATTATACTCTGGGTTTAAATGTAAGCAATGGTTATCAGAAATGTGGGCATGTAGATTGACCCAACGCACTGACTTTTCCTACGAGGGATATCGTTGGCAACCAGAAAATTGTGAGATGCCAGATTTTAGTGGTTCAGAATTCTTGAGAAGGTATACATCTTTTTTTTTCTTTTTCAATGGTTGCCACCTTCCCCGGACCCCGCCGCATAGTGGTAGCTTGGTGCCCGGGCTGCCCCAATGATTGTCATCTTTGTTTAAGGTGCAGTGTGGCTATCTGAAGTTTGAATTGGTTACTAAGTTTGCATATCACCACACATAAATATTCAAGAAGATGCAGTTCTGCAACTGTAGTCACCCATGTGTTATGAGATTTGATATAAATAAACATTGTAAAAGTTGGTACTAAGAGATGAGATATTAAAAGGCGAATCTGAACCAATTGTTTTGAGCAGATTTCAGCCTCACCCTTTAATGTAACTTTATTTCAGAATGCAGGACAAAACTATTGCTTTTATTGGAGATTCACTTGGAAGACAGCAATTCCAGTCTCTCATGTGTATGGTCACTGGTGGTGAGGAGAAACTTGAAGTTGAAAATGTAGGATGGAAGTATGGCTTGGTCAAACCACGTGGAGCTGTACGTCCCGATGGATGGGCTTATAGGTTTCCAAACACAAACACCACAATTTTGTATTACTGGTCAGCAAGTCTTTGTGGTATAGAGCCCTTCAACGTCACGGATCCCGCCACAGAGTCGGCCATGAATTTGGATCAACCTCCTGCCTTTTTGAGGAAATATGTTGATCAATTTGATGTTGTGGTGCTGAATACAGGTCATCACTGGAACAGAGGGAAGGTTAACGCAAACCGATGGGTGATGCATGTAAATGGAAAGCCTGTTGTAGACAGGAAGCTCGCAGAAATAGGAAATGCTAAAAACTTCACAGTTTATAGTATTGCCAGATGGCTTGATTCTCAAATCGCTTCACGTCCACAGCTTAAGGCTTTCTTCCGGACCATATCACCCAGACATTTCTTAAATGGGGACTGGAACACTGGAGGTCGCTGTGATAATACTGTTCCACTTACTAAAGGAAATGAAGTCCAGCAAGAGGAATCAAGTGATCCAGTTATTGGGAGTGCTGTGAAGGGCACAAAGGTTAAGTTATTGGACATAACAGCTATTTCTGAACTAAGGGATGAGGGTCATATATCTCATTACAGTTTAAAATCATCAGAAGGAATAAACGACTGCTTGCATTGGTGCCTACCCGGCATACCTGACACGTGGAACGAACTCCTGTATGCACAACTTTAGTGTCCATAGCATTTGCTGAGAAAGCATGAAGCTCATCCAATGATCAATGTGATGACCTGTCAATCATGTTTGGTCCAACTCAGCTTGCTCGCTCGTGTATTCTATTGTATTCTTTTTGTAAGTAGAATTATTCATTTACGAGGGAAAAGAAGCAGCTATTCCCAAGCCAAATCAGACAGAACAAAGTGCAAAATGCAATGCATGATATGGGATAAAATGCTTCACTGCAAAGGATACTGAAGCTGCTGCAGTACTTGAACGACATCACGATTTTTCCACGAAAAGTTTCTTCTATGTAGGCTCACATTCATCAGAATATTAGGGATTCTTAGTTTGAAGCTTTGCAAGCATGTCCCTGAATTCTGGGATTTATACCAATTGCCTATACTCATCAACAGATGTTCTTTAGAGATTTAGTCTTTGATAGACTTGGTGTTGTAACAGAATGACGATTCATTACTCATCAATAGAAGTTCACGATTACTTGCAGTCCTTATCCAGTTATTACTGTTGTTCTTTGGAACCTACTTTAAAGCTCCCTGTTATTTTTGTCTCTAACAGAGTTGCCTTATTGGTTTGAATATAGTGGGAATAAACTTACTAAATGTTATGATCAACAAATATTACTATAGATCGAAATTAAAGAAGAGGAAAAATAGAAAATATATGAAATGATGTAAAGAAATTGGTCAAATTGAGGAGACTTTACCTCAATCAACAACAACAACAACGACCCAGTAAAAAGGAGGGTAGTGTGTACACAGATCTTACCTCTATCCCATAAACACTCCATCATCCATGTCTTTTGAGTCTACTCAAATCAATTGACTTCCAAGTCAAGCTTCCAGGTTTTGACTCAAAAGAAGTCTAGTCATTTCTCAGTGCAAGTTTCTGACTTCAGTCAAATTAATTGCTGGCTGTTGCATGTTCTCCCATTTTTCCACCACTAATTCTGATTTTCTCTCTATGAAAAATTAATATTGGACTCCGCCTACTGCAACACAGAGCTGGTTCTAGAGAAAAAAAAGAGCAGCCCGGTGCACTAAGCTCCCGCTATGTGCGGGGTCCGAGAAGCGCCGAACACAGAGCTAGTTCTAAATCCGAATAATGAAGCAGAGTTGCGGTAGTTTGATGGTCAGTGTAAAAATAATCATATTATTGATGATACACCAGATTTATGTACCGATCTCAACTAGTTTGAGACATAATTGATTTGACAGATTGCCACTGAGAGGGACTGCTTAGTGGTTTGTAGTCCTCCATCCTAAGACGTCTCGAGTTCAAGCTCTTGGAATTCAGAATCCTTTGGTAGGGGAGCGCTTACCCCTTAGTAGGCCTACCCGGCAGAGGCGGGTGTAGCCTTTTGGCTATGGGTTCTAATTATGGTTAAACAGAATATAGAAAAATATGTAAGATTATTGCGCGCTGTTAACTTTTTTCCTGTAGGCACCATTGCATTATCCAATCTTAGTTTTTAGTTCCTTGAGCCTAAAACCTACTTGCAGAAAAGCAAGCAGCTTATCTCTCTATGAGGGTCAATTTGCCCATGTAAGGGGTCGTTTGGTATGATGGATAAGCAAAAGTAATTCTGGGATAAAAATTTAGTACCCGTTTGTCCCTTGTTTGGTTACTATCCCTTGTTTGGTTATTTCAGTATTAAAAATAGTATCGGGATAACTTATACTTGCCAGAGGGTGGAATAGTACTCCTAGAATAAGTTATCCCAGAATAAAGGGTAAAATTGACAATTTCAGGAGTAATACAACATACCAAACAATCAATAAGAAATAATATCACGATAACTAATTCCCGCATAACTAATCCCAGCATAACTAATCTCAATATAACTAATCCCAGCATAACTTGTCTTCAAACAATACGACCTCTAAGTGTTAGATCAATTCATCTTCATGCCTGTTCTACATTGACCAGCTTGGTTTACAGGGTGAGTTTCAAGAGGAGTTCTTTTGTTGGAATACAGAAGATGATGCAAGAGATTAAGAAATATTTACATTATTCCATGGAAAATGTCCAAGTAAGATGGAAAATATAGCATATAAAGTCGATGATCCATTTGAATAGATTAATTGTAGTAGGTAATCCAACTTGTACAGAACTTTCAACTTATGTATAGAAAGATGTTCCTGCTTGTGAAATCCAATTGCTGCACTGAAAAGTGCACCATAACTATGACAGCAAATAATTTACAAGACAACTGTGACAAAAATTAAACTTGTGCTCCAGTATTACATGCCGAAACCTCACTTATTTGCACCTTTATTTTTCCAAATCCTGTTTGCTATTTGCTCTGTTCTTCTATTTATTCTTTTCTACTACTAAACTAAAAAGAAACACCCTCTTTGTTTCCTCTGTATGCAGTTGCTTTCAACCAACCTGCAAATATCAGGTACCAAAAGTTAAATAACCATAAGTTGAATCCGATAATAAAAAAGAATGCACCATTACGTACAATCTCAAACTAGTTGAAGTCGGCTGGATTCATCATAGTTTCATCTTAGTTTCGTAGGCTATCATTCTTTGCACATAGGATGAGTTATGGTTCATGCAACGTGAAACTTTAGCAGGCGAAAATGTTACTGTATATATAGGTTAAATCTTGAACACCCCTAATGAAATTCTTGGCTTCACCACTGGACTTTATACTATGTAATGCCTTGAAAAATTACAAAAAGAATTTAAATGTTTACTTTTGTGTGACTGACTTAGTATGCTCTAGGCTATATGATATTTTTTTGGGAGAAAGGTTGAATTTTTACCTGCTTTTGCTGCTGCTATTGTAACTCATGCTTTTCTTGATGCTTCTGCTATACTTATTCTCTTTTATAACTACATATATAATTCTCCACCAGTCCCTATTCATGGATTTCTCCGTTTCGTCGACTGGTGTTTTTGGAGAAACTTTTGAGCAGTTCTTTGGCTTTAGTTTCTTCTTGTTACCTATAGAAGAAGGGAGGAACATTTTTAATAAGAAAACACCACTATCCATGCTTTCACTTCTTGATATTTGACTTCTCTTCAAAGTTTTGCTCTGTTGTGGCATTCTAACTTTTGGATTTCTCCCTTTTAATGTTTCAGCCTGTTGGTCCTCTTCTGTGCTTGGTTGATTGTCAACAATATCTTTCAATGACAGTTCAAAAGATGACTCAGGCAAGTCCTGAATCATCCTCATGAGGTGCTTCCTACCATCCCTAATTGCCTGAAAATGCGAATGAGCATATAATCAATGAGTTCAACTGAACCAATATTAATGACACGTATATATATATATATATATATATATATATATATATATATATATATATATATTGGTAAAGTTGCTGTCATGTGACTAGGAGGTCGCGGGTTCGAGCCAGGAAAACAGGCTCTTGCAGAAATGAAAGGCCAGACGACGTAGTCTAGCCCTTCCCAGGACACCGCACATAGCGGGAGCTTAATGCACCGAGCTGCCCTTTTTTTGTGTGTGTGTGAAAATTATTAAAATTTTGAGCTTATAATTTCAAAAATGTATCTAAAGGTTGAGCATATCAAATTTAAATACTGAATCCGCTCCTAATCACCTGTAATCTTGATCCCGGAAAAGGGTGACCAAAATAGTCATAGCATGGCAACAAAGTAGAAGATTGATTTTTGGTATTATCTTTTAATGCCCTTTGAGTCCATAAAGGTGGAGAACAAGGAGTATAGCCATTTGTGATATGTTCACATGCTTGAAACTCTATATCATCACTCTCTTCTTGTCTTTGTTCATTCCATGGTTGAAGTTTTGATAATTTGCTGTCCTGATTGTGTTCATTTCTTGATTCAAGAAAAGGGTCTAAAGTGTGAAAATGGTCTTTTTGCATGGCTCCTTCCTTGAATTAAAGTATAGTTTATAATTGTAATAAGATTTGCTAATAGCCTCTAATTTGTGTTGGAGTTCAAGAAACAGGCTAATATTAATGGCTGTTTTATAGGGTACAAAAGACTAGGTCAATGTCATTTTCCACAAATCTTTAGTCATTGCCGTCTTAAAGGGGAGGACAAGAAAAATGGGTCTCATCTCATTTTCCAAATTCTTCTACTTGTGACTTCTAAAGGTTTTCTAGAGTCAAAAACTCTATTCTTTCATGGGAATGAATTGACTACTATTTGTGGAATTTAATGTTGTTGAAGGTTCTAAAGACCTTTAAGCAATTTGGTGGTGAAATGCTTATTGTTCTAAGCACAATTTTTTTTTTTTTAATAAGTGGGAGCCAAAACGTTCAGGGGTCGTTTGGTTGGAAACGAGTTATCCTAGAGTTAATTATCCCTGGATTAGTTATCTCACCCTTTCACGGAAATATAAAAACACTTCAATTTCGGGATAAGTAATTTCTGGATTAGTTATACCACGATTTTATCCCAACCAAATATGGTATAAACTCATCTTAAATTTAATCCCGAGATTAATTATTTCTTATCTCTCGTACCAAACGAGTCCTTAGAATGTCAGTAAGTTTATTGGTTGTGTAAGTCACATATGTAGACTTGCAATTGACTTGGTGGCATCATGTTATTGACTCCTACATAACTACATTTTAAACAAGTAATTCATATGCAATTTCTTCTCATAAACATTTAAGGGCTGATTTGTCAAATTCATTTTACTAAATTGACATAGTTCAAAAAAAAATTGATATAGTTCCAATGTTTATTTATTTTCATTATAATTATCGCTAATATTTTCATATATTAACCACAGATCCCTATCTATTAGAGCATCTAATCTACTTAAGCCGAATTTTCTTATCCCTTCCAGACAAAGAGTGGAATTACTTTCTTAGCTCAACAAAGAATTAATTATCTCAAACTACTCTAACTCTAGAACAAATGAATTCGAAAATGGAAGAACTATGGAGTTCAAGAAGAAAATAAAAGAAAAAAAATCTGGTTGGAGTGTTCCCTTTAATGGACCTTATATGACGTGAATTTAAATTAGTCGGGACCCCAAAAGAAGTGCCTCTGGAACTATCTTTCTTTTTCTAGAATCAGAATTTTGAATAACTAAAATTTCACAATTAAGAAAATGATTAATTATCTCGAAAAGAATTATACCGTTCATCTAGAAAAAGTATCTCGATTACAACCATCTTCCGTTCCTTATCTTTTCCCTATCAAAAGAGCTTTATGTTATATGACGTTTTCATAACTCATGGAGATTGAATTGTTAATTTGGTCTACACGTTATTTCTTAGTGGATGAAGGGGAAAAAGTTATCTTAGTTCTCCTTTTGTCTTGGCAAATGATACATTGTGATAAATTAAGACCTTAAGGGTGCGTTTGGTACGAAGGAAAATGTTTCCATGGAAAATATTTTCCTAGAAAATTGTAACGATCCGACCGGTCATTTTGAGCTCTAGCGCGTCACTCGGCGGTTTGAGGCCTTAGGTAGCTTCACTTCAGGTATTATGACTTGTAAGTGTGGTCGGAATTGAATTTCGGGAGGTTCGGAGTTAATTTAGAAAGAAAATTCTCATTTCAGAAGCTTTAAGTTGGAAGAGTTGACTAAGGTTTGACTTTTGAGTAAACGACCCCGGAATCGGGATTTGAAAGTTCCAATAGGTTCGTATGGTGATTTCGGACTTGGGCATATGTCCGGATCGGGTTTTGGGTGATCCGGGAGCATTTCGGTGCTTATTATGGAAAGTTAGCATTTTGGAAGAATTTTATAAGTTTGGGTTGAAGTGTATTTTAATATTATCGATGTCTTTTTGGGATTCCGAGAGTAGGAATAGCTCCGTGTGGTGATTCTGGTCTTAGGAGCGCGTCCGGATATGGATTTGGAGGTCCATAGGTCATTTCGCAAATGCGAGAGTGGGCTGTGGACCGTGTGAGTTTGTTCCGGATTTCACAGCTATTCTTATGTGTCATGAAAAAAGGGTTATTGTGGATCCTTGAAAGATTATTAGCCCAGTGCGGTACGATCAGAATCGGCTTGAGGTCCGTGGATGGACCTAAATGTAAATGCGGGCTCTATATTAGGCCGGGTATGTTCATTTCAGCATAGCATTGTGTACGGAGGAGTCTTCGGGCCTTGGATGTTATTTCTATCGCCAGCTATTCCGTGCGATCTCTATTATGCCATATGGGTTGTGAGACGGTATGATTATTCGCACTCGTATTGAGATCTCACGTAGTTGTGGTGTTGTGAGAGCAGGATAGCTCTCGAGATGCATGTCATTTATTGCACCTTAGTTGTGCTTGAGTTTCGTAGCGTGTGGCGCTATCCGTCTCCCCAGGATTTGTATTATGCACTTCGCGTGCTTGTGGTTGACATTAGGGTATTTTGTAGGTATAAGCATTTTGGCTTGATGGGTACTTCCCTATTTATTGTCATGTATGGATCGGGTGGCATCTGCCACGGGTATATTGTTGGATCGGGTGGCACGCCGCCACGGTATGTTGTTTGGATCGGGTTGCACGCCGTAACGGTATCGTGTGTGGATTGGGTTGCACACCGCAATAGTGAAATGTTGAGCATAGTTTCTTATATTTGTTTTGTGTGTCCTGTTTCTTACCTCCGAGAAAGGCTCATAGTATTTGATGGCCGTTCTTAGTCGTTACGCGGGCTGGATAGTTCTTTTCCAGAGCTCGTTCTTCCTTATGTGTCATATTCAAGTTGTGGCTTGTTGGCGTATTGATGGCATCATATGAGATCTTAGATAGTGTTTGTGGTGGCTTATTGCCGGAACGACTTGTACTGGGTGAGACGAGATTATTGGACTTGGGATCAATGCGGTCAGATTTATATGAAGCATATTAAAGAGCAAATATCATTATTTGGTTCATAATGGGGTAGTGGTTCCTGTCAGGAAGAGGGACTCAATGATTTGCTGACTCGGCAGTCGGTTATGAATTTCTTGTTGGAAAAATTGGATGATTATGGAGATAAAAGGTTTAGCTTGAGGCGTGTCAAGGACACTGTCCTTAAGGATATTTCGCCCACACCGTGATAAATAAAATTAGGCGTATCCCCCAGGATTCAACAAGCTCTTCTAGTATAACTAGGAGCAGAAACAACAAAGATTTATGAGAAGAAAACCCAGCACAAAGAAAAGGGAAGAAAATATTTTTAGCTTTTTTCACTACTTTTGTGTTACGAAGACAAGAGGCATATATAGTCTAAAGTCTACACAGAAGTAGACTATCTGTGAGGCTATTCATTCAAAGAAATACACCATAAGAAACATTCAAGCCATAAAGGCTATTCCAAAATCCGTTAAAACTTAAGCCATTAAAATTGGTCATTGATTTTCCAAATATTAATGTCATTGACTTTTCAATAACGTACCAATACATACTAATGACCATTCAATTGTCCAATTTATTTTGTCCCAAATTGAATTTTCAAATTTAACAAATTTTCTGTTATAAATATTTTAAAATAATTACTATTATAAAGACTTATTAATATAATAGTAAGAAAATGACTCTAGACATAGTTTTAGAATATTTCTTTTTGAGATATCAAAACTATTTTTCTATCAATCCCCCACATATCTCAGAAAGAATATTAAAAATAATAATCATGAAATAATAAAATAATTTGCTGGGTTTCACAAATGAGTATAATGCGTCGAATCTGGTGTCTCTTGGACTATGAACCAGACCTAGATAAAATAAGATTAAACTTACAGAACAAATGGTGAAGCTTAAAACTTCTATGAACCAAGAATTCTTTTGTAAGTTTAGTGTCTTATCTATCACATTATACCCCCACACACTTTGTTGTTTATCGCGGTTTTGCGCTAATAGGCCATGCGCGCGCCTGGTTTTCATGAGTGCTCTAGAAACTTCGCCACAAATTTCATAGGAGCGGCCCCACTCCACACTCATATAGGTCCATCCATCAAGTGTATTCTGCAGCTTAATACACCACCTATAAAGGGCTATGGATTATTGGATTAAGAGTATAATAACTCAACCTCATATTCCTTGCAGTCTTGCACTATATACGCACACACCATAGGAAGAGACATAATTTAATAGTGCATATTTGATCAACTAATGACTTGTTATTACCCATATGAACCTACTTCATGGGATCTCCAATCACATAGGTTGGGTTACCATCATGGTTGATATAACTCAAATTGGCAAAAGTCTCATTCCCCTCGATGTTTCAGATATTAATTTTCTTCCCAAAGGTTTAGTCAGAGGATTGGCCAAATTCACTTCTGACTTCACATAATCTATGGAAATAATTCCATCTTTCAGCAGCTGCTTTATCACATTATATCTCAAGAAAATGTATCTACTCTTCCCATTGAAAGACTTTTTTCTTACAATGGATATTATGCCTTGGCAATCACAATTCATCGACACAAATGTTGTCGGTTTAATTCCTAGTGGAATATTGTGCTTTGGCAATCACAATTCATCGATATAATTATTGTCGGTTTAACTCAACAAGAGGTTGCTTAATCAACCTCATTGCCAGACAGTTCCAATAGCTTAACAACCACCAAAAGGTGATCACACAATAACTAGCTAGTTTTTTCTCATTTGAATCAAAGATTCAATATCATCACTGTATCCTTCTAATCAAGTGGAAGATTCACATACAAATACAACTTCATAGTATTTCTACAATNTACAAAATACTAACTCATAGTATTTCTCAAATAAAGCATAAAATCATTTCAAATGAAATAAAACTTGACTTCTGTACCCATACCTTTTGAAACATCTTTCAACATATGAAACTTTATGTATCTTCCATAGTCAAGCACCAAAATAAAATTTTCTAAAATATAGAAGCAACTTTAGCTTCTACAGAAATATCTCAAATCAGTAGGAAGCGGATCATAATTCAATGATTTCTTCATCACCCAAATGACTAAGAGATCCGTAATGAAATAACTTTTCGGAGCCAAAAAATACAACATACTTTTGATCTTCCAATATAAAAATTTTTTTCACAAAAATTCTCATTTTTATAAGGCTTCAATGTTATAAT